ATCTTCAGAAAGAGTCGGACTTTTTTATGAATTTCATTGAAGGCCACAGAACTGTATCCGAGTTTTGTAAGCAAGAAGTAGAGCCCATGTATAAAGAGAGTGATCACATCCACATCATTGCTCTCACACAGGAGTTCAAAGTTGGCGTCCGAATCGTTTACATGGTATACACCACTCAATCCATTCACACCCACATTGTCTCTAACACTCATTGTATGCATTATTATGTCATAGGATAGGGGAGAGGCAGAGAAGGCCAACACTCATGATTTCGGTATCGATGAGGGGTCGGCCGAACCGCCCAAAGTATATCTCCTCTACAGACCGGGTATGCATTCAAAGCTCATTTCAATCATTTTAATCTCAATTCAGCATTAATGGCCTCCACTCCCCCCAACCCCACACCCACTGTCAGATTCCATTTACCTCAATTCATTAGTCCTTTCACCACATTTATTCACCTCAATTGAGCATTGAAGTTGAGGTTTATAGGATGACTCGGCCCAGTTTTGTTAGTACAATCAAACCCCTATTTAAGGGAATCATTGGTGAGACAAAGAACCTGTTGAATTCCATAGATTCTAGCCTATAGACTGGCTTTAAAAAAGTTATATCGAAAGAATTTTAGTAATTTCTGTTGGTTTTTGACATTATTTTTGAATCAATCGAACTGAATAACTGAGAAGGCATTGATTGTTTATACAGATTACAGATTATTGTAGATAGATGTTTATCTGTAATTGATTCAATTTTATTCTGTCGATTGATTCCGTTGCGATTGATACTGAAAAGTGAACATGAGAATATTGCCAAAAATAAATATAACTCGTAAGTGATTTAAGCTATTTTTATAGTAATTACTAATTATACTATCTTTGTGGATTGCAATGCTCATATAATTTGTTAATTATCATTTACATTAAAATTACTGTAAATAAACATTTAAGTAAATATTATATCCCATGGCTTACAATGAATACATATTCTGAAAATCTTTATTAATTCCTAATGAGTGGTATTAAAAAAGAAATTTAGAAAAATAAATGCCTTCTCTGGAACATCCACTGGAATATTCCTTATAAATGTTCTCAAAAATAGCACCTTAATGAGACGACAGCATCGCTTGAAAAACACTCCTAACGCTAGCCATTGAAAAATGTGGGCAATATTATAGGGAGTCCATAATAAATTCCCGGAGTATTCCGTTAATTTAATTCCCATTACAAAATTGTCTAACCCTATCCTAACCCTATTCCTAATCGGTTATAATGAAATTTTATTCGCGTAATATTTGCTTATAACCGAGTTTTACTGTACCCGAATGAAATTGTTTGACCCGAATTGAGTTTAACTTAACTTGTGTTCAAACCTTGTTTTATAGATTAAAACTAATTGACATTTTTTTATTTGTGAACTTGTATTCAAATGCAAACTATAGGTCATTACGATATACTCTATCCAATCGTTTGAAGCATTAATTTTTATTATTATTACTTTTTATATACAGTATAAAGAGATAATAAATTGCAATTTTCTGCAAAAACAAATTCATTAAATTTTAAAATTATTGTATTTATATTTGAATTACATTTTGCAGTAAAATATTACGCGTTGGCCTTCATCTGCAGCTCTTCCAACTCAGTCTTCGGCACAACCGCTCCGTTCATCTCTTCAGCCCCGGGCGGACCCGCACTCGTCACGGCTGGTGGCGCTGGCATTGCTTGTGGTCACTGCGAGTGGTGGCAAACGGACACCGATTTGTCGATTAAACTGTAAATAGTGTTCAATAATAATAAACTCGATATCGTTTTGAGAGACGACTCGACGTTGGCTTTCAATCACTCATTCATTGCTTTATAAAATACTAATCAATGAAATGACGCTTCACTGCAGGTCTCCAACGCCTATAACACGACTCCTGCGCAACGCATCCACGCATTCATGACATACAGCCCTACAGTACAGTCAATACAGTCATCGCATCTCTACTCCCATTGGCTAATACTGTACGCACTCTGAGGTTCAAACATATATTACGTGATTCACTACAGTCCACACTCGCTATAATAAACATTGCGTTACAGACGCGTGACTTACAGAGTGTGTACTGTAAGCACTGTTTGAAACATTGATTGGTTTTGCATTGAATCCCATGTCTTATACCCGAAACTGACGAGAAATAAACGCAACTAATTATGCAAATGGTTTGCAATTAACGCAAACTTTATTTACAATTAACTATTGATTACAAGAGTATTATAAAAGTTAGCACTCGATTGAGTGACTGATATGAATGACTCATTTCAATGAGTGTTTCATTTATTAATATTCATAACTTTTTCTTTACTCATAATTACTCACAATTGCTGTACAATTGATAGCATTTTATTAATCATAAATTAAATGAGTTTTATATTTAAACTTCAATTCATTTCTTTACCTTTTTATCAATTTATTGATACAAAACGCGATCAAAGAAATTGAAACCACTTTTCATACAATTACTCAAACCGTTAACTATTATAAAACTAATGAAAGTATTAAATAATGATTAATAATGCGGTTATTTATACAAAATAAAAGTTGCAAACATTTTAATTGTATTTATTTTAATATTTAGTGACAAATAAATTCAATGAATGCAATGAGAGAGTGAAAGGGGGCCAAAGGGGGCCATAATATGAGTGCGAATAACGTGTTGAGTGAATGAGTGCTGATTTGCATTCAATTTTCAATTGTTTAGTGTTTTTGTCGATTCATTTGAATTGGATTTAAGTACAGGTTTTAGGGTTTGATTGACAGCTAAATAGTGATCATTGGGGAAGACATGAGCGAAAAGACTGATCCAAAGGACGGCAATAATGTGGACAAAGAAGAGACGGGCGATGGAGCGCCAGGTTTGCCGACAAAAGAGTTAATGAATGGTTTAAATGAGTGATTGGTTGATGTCTTAGCCGCAGATGGAAACCGGGATGAGCTGACTATGGCTCAGGAGAAACAGATCGAGAAAGAGATCGCCGACAATATAGATCTGATTGGACAGCGACTACAGGTCTCACAACTTCTCAATGAATATTCAGCCGACGATCACATCTATCGGCAAAAGATTTCTGTATATATTTTCAAAACAACTATTTTTGTCAATTAACTAATGAATCGATGGATTAAAATATATGACAGGATTTGCAAAAGAGTTATTCGGATTTACGAAAGACAAGACCCGACGGGAACTGCTTTTTCCGGGCGTTTAGTTTCGGTTATTTTGAGTATTTATTGACACATCGGGAAGAGTTGGACCGGTTTTGGCCGATTGCTCAACAAAGTAAGGATAAACTGGTCGAACAGGGGTTCCCTAACTTCACTATTGAAGACTTCCACGATATGGTAGACATCGATTTATTTTGACATCTCTTTACCACTCTTTGTCACACTTTTACTCTTTGTCTGTTTGGATCAGTTTATGGATACGTTAAAGAAGATTAGCGACGGAATGAAAAGCGAACAATTGGTGCAACTCTTCAACGAATCGGGAGTTTCCGACTATTTAGTGGTTTACGTCCGACTCATCACTTCAGGACATCTTCAGAAAGAGTCGGACTTTTTTATGAATTTCATTGAAGGCCACAGAACTGTATCCGAGTTTTGTAAGCAAGAAGTAGAGCCCATGTATAAAGAGAGTGATCACATCCACATCATTGCTCTCACGCAGGAGTTCAAAGTTGGCGTCCGAATCGTTTACATGGTATACACCACTCAATCCATTCACACCCACATTGTCTCTAACACTCATTGTAAACACTTATTATGTCATAGGATAGGGGAGAGGCAGAGAAGGCCAACACTCATGACTTTGGCATCGATGAGGGGTCGGCCGAACCGCCCAAAGTATGTCTCCTCTACAGACCGGGTATGCATTCAAAGCTTATTTCTATCATTTTAATCTCAATTCAGCGTTAATGGCCTCCACTCCCCCCAACCCCACCCCCACTGTCAGATTTCATTTACCTGAATTCATTAGTCCTTTGACTCGCGTAATATTTGCTTATAACCGAGTTTTACTGTACCCGAATAAAATTGCTTGACCCGAATGAAATTGCTTGACCCGAATTGAGTTTAACTTAACTTAACTTGTGTTCAAACCTTGTTTTATAGATTAAAACTAATTAATCGATATTTTTTTTATTTGTGAACTTGTATTCAAATGCAAACTATAGGTCATTACGATATACTCTATCCAATCGTTTGAAGCATTAAGTTTTATTATTATTACTTTTTATATACAGTATAAAGAGATAATAAATTGCAATTTTCTGCAAAAACAAATTCATTAAATTTTAAAATTATTGTATTTATATTTGAATTACATTTTGCAGTAAAATATTGATTATTTAACGAATAATTTTTAATTTATACTAATGTATAATATTCTCGATTTAAAACTTATACGATTGTCATAAATAAATGAATTGATTTTTTATGAAAACAAATCTTATATTAAGATTATATCGTAAATAAAATCTTTTTTAATATAATAAAATATAATACTTTTTTTTAATGAATGACTGTTTTCTATAAAAATAACTTAATGTTTAATTCAAAAGCTTAGGCAGTGATTGAATGAACACTCGGTGTTTGATTGAATGGTTGTGTGGTTTGCGTTAAATGGCATTACTGTCTGACTGTCCGGCGAGAAGACAAGAGCGACAGCAGAACTTCGCGTAATGAGGGTTAGAGCAGTACTTGGCCTTCACTATGAGGTCACAATTGGCAAAATACGAACTGTCTTCACATCCACTCGAGATTTCTACTCCTAATTCACATTTAATTCATTGTTAGTATTCATTAAATATTCAGTTCTCAACAATATATCAATTAGAGCTCACTTTCAACACGAATAGGTGTGGAGGCATAGCCTTCAGTGTACTGATTGGACGCCCGGCACCGGTAGTCTCCCGAATCATTTGTTGTCAAATCATACACTATTAGCGTATTGTTGTGAAGTATGCGATAGTGTCTGTTGTCTGACACCAATGGTGTGTCACTGTTGAAGAACCAGTTGATTGTAGTATACGTACCGCGTACTCTACACTCTAGTTCAAGAGTTGATCCAACCGTATGGTCAGTGGATAGAGTTCTTACCTCCACAGTCAAGGGATCTACGTTTCATAATAACTCAATTTAATTATACAATTTCACAAAAATACTTAACCAAATACTCATAGGATTCTTAATAAGTTAGTTTTATTATTAATTTTATTAAAAGTTAGTTATTAGGTTATATTCATACCATGTCTTTGGTTTGTTAGTATATTGGGATCAATTGGATGAATGTTGCCATTCATTGTATAATTAGTTTGTTCTCTAATACTGGTCGAGTTAAACGCAGAGGAATCATATGGTCTGATCTCAGGTTCTGACGAAGAAAAGTCAAGCAAAAGCATGACATCCCAGAGAGCAATGGGTCCCAAACCATTGTACGCCTATTATTGGCCATAATGTTTGAATTGTATATAAAACACTCAATATATGACAAGTGCCTATACCTAGAAGAAAAGTCAAGCAAAAGCATGACATCCCAGAGAGCAATGGGTCCCAAACCATTGTACGCCTATTATTGGCCATAATGTTTGAATTGTATATAAAACACTCAATATATGACAAGTGCCTATACCTGACAGGTGTAAATGCCTCCGTCCTTATCATCAACTTTCCTAATAAGTAATGTAAAATTACTGAACTGTCGGTATTGGATACTATTCAATGGCAACATTTGCTGTCCCTTCCACCTGAACCATGCGATCAAATTGTTAGTTAATGTTAATTATGTTAATAATTGTTAATAAATGCCAAACCAAGTGACTCTTGGATCAGGATTTCCAATAGCATTGCACTGCAAATATGAGGGCAAATTCAACTGTGCGATCACTATCTGCGGACCGGGGAGTATGCGGGCCGGCACTATAGCATTGCATAATGTTATTTCATTGTGGGTTAGTTTTCATTGATAGTTACATTTAAGGCTTACTAAAACCTAACATACCATTGATTAAAAGCCTTGTATGCATAGTATCCTTGTTATCAATAGCGCAGGAATAAGTGCCCGCGTCTTCGTTCTCCGCTTGTGTTATACTTAACGATCCGTTTTCCAGAACTTGTATCCTATCGGACACTAAGTATAGGGGCTGTCCATCTTTACTCCACGACACTTTGTTTGATTGTGTTGATTCAACACAATTAAGTGTTACAGCACTTCCAGGAGTGATAATAATTTCCATTTGCCGCGAATCTCCTCTCGTTTGGGGTGGATATGACTCGTAATGAGTGCTCGTATTAGTTGTAATGCCTTCGGCTAAGACACATACGTGAGCGCATCCAAATTGTTAGTTAATGTTAATTATGTTAATAATTGTTAATAAATGCCAAACCAAGTGACTCTTGGATCAGGATTTCCAATAGCATTGCACTGCAAATATGAGGGCAAATTCAACTGTGCGATCACTATTTGCGGACCGGGGAGTATGCGGGCCGGCACTATAGCATTGCATAATGTTATTTCATTTTGGGTTAGTTTTCATTGATAGTTACATTTAAGGCTTACTAAAACCTAACATACCATTGATTAAAAGCCTTGTATGCATAGTATCCGCGTTATCAATAGCGCAGGAATAAGTGCCCGCGTCTTCGTTCTCCGCTTGTGTTATACTTAACGACCCGTTTTCCAGAACTTGTATCCTATCGGACACTAAGTATAGGGGCTGTCCATCTTTACTCCACGACGCTTTGTTTGATTGCGTCGATTCAACACAATTAAGTGTTACACCACTTCCAGGAGTGATAATAATTTCCATTTGCCGCGAATCTCCTCTCGTTTGGGGTGGATATGACTCGTAATGAGTGCTCGTATTAGTTGTAATGCCTTCGGCTAAGACACATACGTGAGCGCATCCGTTGTTACAACACTTGTCATCCGCACGACAGTCGGCATCAGTTCTGCACCGATCGACACAATCGGACGACAATGCGTTTGAAGACAGATCCGACGGACAGACTCCGGGCTTATTCCGTAATCGGCAAACCGGTTGAGCTCTGGGCTCTCCCTTCTCAGCCCTATAGACTTCAACAGCGCATTGCATGTGTTCCGGGCATTGGAAGACATAGCATGGGTTAGAGCAGCGGCAGGCACTGCATCCTCTCTCGTCTACGAACTCATCGATACCGAAAGGACAGCGTTGGTCCTCACAGTCAGACGGCGGACAGTCGACGGGTGATTCAGAAACGGGTCTTAACTCAGTGGGAATTTGCGGGGGAATGGGCTGAACGGGTGATATTCCCGAACAGAATTTCATACATAATTCATATGTTTTGAAGCGATTCTTATTGCCATTACATCCGCCGTAAGCGAAAGGAAGACAGATATGACTTTGCGGATCGTAAAACCAAAACGCTTGCGTCTGACGGCACGGCCCGGACTCCACTTCCAAACGGCACACAACTGTCATAATGTTTAAAAACATGTTTAATACAAAATTAACAACGATATAGTTGGCTGACCTTCGCTGGAATCATATTCTCCCGGCCCGTCCAGTGGTCTGGAAGTTCTGGCCAAACATCTGGATTCGCATTCGTGTCGGTTATCAAAACGGTTTTCGTTTCCATCACATCCGCCGTAAATGAATTGTTTGCATCCGTTATCCTCTCGCGAGTAATACCATCGCGGAAAGTATCCCTTACACATACCCGACGCGTACGGCAGGTCACACACATTGGTCACCGAAGAGGCGGTTGAGACACCGCTGTGTGGCAGTTGTTTTTGACACTGAGTCTCACACATCTCTTTATTGTTATATCGATTCGCGTTTCCATGACATCCACTGAAGAAGAATTCGAGGCATTCGTTGGCATTCGAGTCGAAATACCATTGAGTGAAACGTCCAGAACAGGAACCGATTACTTTGGATCTGTTTAATAAATCATATATTTTTAATAACATGGCATAAATATTGGAAGATTTTATACAATTTATATTATATTAAGATCTATTATATTTGATGCACTGTACGTTACAGTGCCGTACAGTGCAATGCCTTACACTGTAAGGCTTACAGTGCAGTACTTTCCTAAAGCTAATTAACTTACATTTATATCTTGTGTACCAAAGTTATAGTTATAGTTATAGAATAGAGTTTTAATAAGTATTAGAAACAGGAAAAACGAATGACAAAACAATTACAGAGTTTTAAAAGTAAAATAAGTGACAATTTCTTACAGTTTGCAGATGTCTTGTGAGTTCCAACACTTGGCCTCGCAATCACTTCGAGATGCGAATCGATTTTCATTGCCATCACAGCCTCCATAGAGGAACTCTTTGCAGACGCCGTCTGTCCTGTCATAGAACCAACGGATCTCATTCTGAAAACACGGTCCGGAAT